TATTCCTTCAGAAGAGCGCAGGACTTCAGATCTTCTTCAAATCTTTCCTTTCAGGCAGAAAACAAATTCTCACAAGAAATCGCAAGCCATTTTTAAGTATGATGAGTAGAAAGAGCACAAAGAGGAGAATGAGGTTTCACTTGTTTGTTTGCCCCAGGTGCACAGGGTTATTTAGAAAAGGGGAGATTTCAGTGTAGAAACGTCATACATTTCATCCATTAATTGGAACCTGGTTGATTACAAAAGGCCCCTGGTAAGGAAATAATTATATCACCACCTCTCCACATTCCAGAAGGTACTTGAGGTTAATGATGTTTTGAAATGTGGAATGATTTATATGTCAGAGCTGCCGAAATGTAATGCAAAAAGTACTATTTTACTGAATATTCTGCATTATACAGCATTTCTTTCTTCTTGTGCTCTTACAATGAGGAAACAAATATTTCCGATCTGCTTAGTTAGTCTCTATTCTAGCAGTTCCCAGCCTGTGCCTGTGTTTCCATGCGAGAACAAGGAGTCTGACAGTGGACAGAGGAAATCTGCCCAATTGACATTTGTCGTCAACCGCAGTTGCTGAACATTTTGTAGTAATATCAACATATCCGCTTATGTTTGGAAAGGCAGCTTTTCTGTCTTGGTGCACACAGAAAAACGATACTACAATGGAGATTTCAGACACTCACTGGGGTGATTTTTGCCTGCTGATCGTGATTTTGCTGCTGCTTTTTTGTGTGTGTTTCTTAATTTGTGAATTGCTGCTCTTTGTCTTGAGTGTCGCCGGTTGCGAAGGAACTTGTCTCGTGGATGTTGGCAGTCATCGCCCACATCCGGCAGAGAACAAGGTTGTCGGAACAAGAGCCGAAGTAGCCACCGGATTAGGAAGAGGGTGGTGTGAGGCAGACTAGGGCCGCCCCCAGGTTAAGTGCCAGGGGTACAGTGACATTAAGGGAACCCTCATCATTGTTTTTTTTTAATGAGACTCAAAAATCCCAGCCGGCCAGCTCTGAATGCCACTGTCCAGCCTGCATTCACCTACACTGAACCCTTCTGGGTGAAGAAAATTATATATGGAAATATGTTTCTACTTCAGTAAAGAAGGAGACCCATTCACCACATTTTTAACTTTCTAGCTATTTATTAATAGCCAAATATTGAGAACTATATGCTTTCATCTCAACTCTGCATTCTACTCCTTAAACCTTTTTTTTCCCTCTAAAACTCTAAACGCCTGGAGTGTTACACCACTCTGGCAGCGCGTCTTGTGCCACTCTGCTGTACTCACGGTTAATTTCAGCCGCTGTTCCACCGGAGTACGTGCTTTCTGAGGGCTCGTTGGCA